GCGGGCAGGGGGCGCGCCCGGGGCCGGGGCCAGCGCGCCGGTCGCGGGAGGGGGAGGGGCGACGTGCACTCACCACGGGTCGAACTCGTGGATGATGCTTTCGAAGCGGATGACGGCGAAGAGGCGCGAGCTGAAGCCGGCGAGCCAGGCCAGGAAGAGGATGGTGAAGGAGAGCAGCGACTGCCAGCCGGCCGGCTGCGACAGCCCCCCGGACAAGCCCGCGGGGGCTGGCTTCGGCGGCGCCGCGCCGCTCGCCGCCTTGTGCGCGCACTGGGCCCCGGGCCCGTGGTGGCCGTGCCGACTGTTCCCCAGGGCCATCAGGCCGCTCCACGGGGACGAGTTGAGGGCCGACTTGTGCTTGCTCTCCGGGGCCGAGGGCTCCGCCATGTTGTGCCCCGGCGGCGGGTCTCGCTCCTTGCCGCCGCCGCCGCCTGGTGCGAGGGGTGCTGGGCGGGGACCCGGAGAACGAGGAGGAGGAGGAAGAAAGAGGAGGAGGAGGGAAGAGCTCGCGCGCTCCCGCCCTCAGCGCCGCGAGGCTGGGGGACGGGGGGTGGAGGCGGCGGCGGGGAGTCTCCGCCTCAGCAGCGGCCGGGACCGCCGCTCTCTCAACGCGGATGGCCCCTGCGCCCCACTAGCCATCCGTATCCCTAGTGCAGCTGCGGCGGCGGCGAAAGCCGACGGGACGAGGGCGCCACAGAAGGAGCAGGAGCAGACGGAGGCGGCCCCACGGCTGGGAGCAGCAATGACATTCCCCCTCACGCCCGTCGCCCGCCCTGCCGTGAGGAGCAGAGGGAGGAGCCCCCGGAGTCCGGGAGGAGTTCAGGCTACTGCTGGCTCCGCCCCCAGCCCAACAGGAACTGACCCCTCTGCCTGTCACAAAGCGACAGGTCCGTTAGGGGGCGGGCCCAGAACCGCGGCGCCCGCCAATAGGAGCGCGATCTGGGCGGGGCTTGGGCCAACCGTCCTCCCCCTCCCCCTCTCGGCCTCGCGCCCGTTCGCCCAGAGCGGCCGAGCTGCGCTGCTACGGCTTCATTGTCAGTTGAAAGACGCGGTTTCGCGCGCGTGTGCGGTCGGCAAGGAAGGACGCTAGGAGACTCCCCTCTTTTCATGGAGCTCAGCCCGGCTGAGGGGTCGACAGGTGGTCGAGGACAGCGGCGCGACCTCAGTCAAACTCGCGCTAAGGAGCGTGGGGAGCGCCGCGCCGGCCGGCCGGCCGAGCGCTCGCGGACTCTCCGCGGGCGTGACTTTTAACCCGCTTTGCAAGGAGCTCCCGCCACGTGACGGGGCGCGCAGGCGCGCTGCCCTACCCCCCCCCCTCCGGCTCGTGGGTTAGGCCGGCGGGGATCAGCCGCTCGCGGCGCCCAGCGCTCGGAGTAAGCTTGTGGTGGCGGCGACACGGTCGGCCCCGCGGGCTGAGTCCCGCATTCATCCTCCAGCTGTGCGACCACCAGAATCGGCTGAGGCGAGCGAAGACAAGTTTGCTTGCGCTGAAAACTCCCCCGCGGCCGGCACACGCGTCCCTAGCACTGGGTGGGCAAGGCGCAACCGTCTCCCGCCTTTTCGATTCTTGTGTTTCCCTAATTACGAAAGAAACGTGTGTGCACTGGAAATATAGGGAAATGCACATGTAAAGACCTGTATACTTTCCATCAAATGAGTGAAACTAACTTTCCCTAGGCTTTCACCGTGGAGCCCTGGTAGCGCAGTGACGAAGAGCTGGGCTGCTAACCAAAAGGTCGGCAGCTGGAATCCACCAGCTGCTCCTTGGAAACCCTATGGGGCAGTTCTACCCTGTCCTATAGGGTTGCTCTGAGTTGGAATCGGCAACGGGTCAACTTCCAGCTATCACCCAATTCTGACTTTGGTGTATGATGGAATAAAGATCCCTGTACAGGAGCTTTTGCAGATCTAGGTTCAGGTTGCAGGTTTAGGTTGTATTTCTAGGAGTCCCTGGGTGGCGAAAAAGGTTAAGCGCTACTAGCTACTTTTCTAAAGGTTTCCTTGAAAGACAGGCCTGACGGGTCTGTTTCCGAAAGGTCACAGCCTTGAAAACGCTACGGAGCAGTTAGATTCTGTACACATGGGGTCACCATGAGTCTGAGTGAACTTCGAGGCAACTAAAACAACGTTGTATTTCTATACCTTCCTCCCCTTACCCCATCCCTTCTCCTCTTAAAGAAAGTGCTAGCAGGTAGACGAAACTCAAGGCAAAATAAATTTGTACAAAAAAAGTTGGGTAATGGGGAGACGAGAATTGCTGTGATATAAACCCCATGGAAGGCGGGGAGCTTCCAGTATAGTCAAGACTCAATACTTTTACTAATTTTACATGTAAATTCACAGTTAGATGTCCATTTTATTAGGTGAATAACATCCGAACTTTATAAGAGTGTATTCGTGGAAAAGATGGTAAAGGCACTTAATAAGTCATTTACAAATTTCTCTTTAAATTAGAGGCTTTGTTGAAGTAGTAGGTTTTCAAAATGTTAGATAAATGGACAAGTGTACTCAGTTTGAAGATGCTTTTTGGGCTAGTGGATCCAGCTACTCTTTTAACCTGGTAAATGATTAACTTCTCTCTGGTTCCTTACCAAAAAAACCCAGTCTCATTAAGGAAAGGATGAAAAGGTTTCCGGAAATAGACATTCCCACCACGAATTTAATAGGCAGCATTTATTGAACATCTAAATTTTAATGAGAATTATGACAATATTAACTGATCCCTGTTGTGCAGACTAAGGTGACATGCTCTTTCTCAGAGCCCAAACAGTACATGCTAAAATACAGCATTTAGGGTATTTTTGCCCATGTTCCCTGAACCAAAGTTCTATCAGCCTAAAATAATAAAATGTATATTGCATCTTTAGTTAAACTTGATTGGCTATGTCTATTTTATTGTCCATGTGTAGCTCCTTCTGTTAAGTGCTACATGATTGTTTGCTTTCTCTGTGGTTGTTTCATGGCCGGAGGCCTGGTGTGGAAAGTGAAAAGCCTCTGATCTAGTCCTAAATTTCTGCTGACTAGCCACGTAATGGGAAGGCTGGGTGGCCCAAGCAGCTTGCGATTGGCTGTGAGCCTAAAGGTTGGCAGTTCAAACGCACCCAACGGCTCTGTGGAAGAAGGGCCTGGCAAACTGCTTCCATAAAGATTACACCCAAGAAAACCCTATGGAGTAGTTCTACTCTGTAACACATGGGGTCGCCATGAGTTGAAATAGACGGCAACAGGTTTTGGACAAGTCATCTGCATGGGTTGCCCTTTCTACCCTCAGTGTCAACTGTTAATATTAATTAAATGAGCTAGCCTTCTGTAAACACTTTCTAAACTTGTAAAGGAACATACACAAATGTAGGGTAGTGGTGAGGGTAAAAGCAGTAAGAAAAATCCCTGTTATTCTTCGTCTTCATTCATTCATTCATTCCCTCCCCTCTCGTTCATTCAAGTATTTATTGAGTTGCTCCTATATGCCAAGCACTCTGTGGGCCCAGGGGTGCAGCAGGAAACATGAGTGACATGCTTCTTGCCCTTTTGGGGTACACCAGCCAGCCTTGGGGAGATAGACATTGACTAGATCATCACATTGCTAAGAATCAAAATGCAGCATGACAAATGCTCTGGAGGAGAGGTGCATTGGGGATTTAATCTGCACAAGAAGGGTGGAAAAGACAGCCTTGATGAAGCATCACTAGGGCTGAGGGTTGGGAGTGAGAATGCATGAACCAGAGGAAGAGGGCAGGGAAGAAGAGTGGAAAGGGCTGGGGAGATGTACAAGGAACCCAGAAAAGGGCCATGTAGCAGAGATAGTAGGTTAGGAGTCAAAGGAATGGCCAGACAGTGTGGTTCATGTTAAGAGGTGCTTTTGTTTAACCTCAGGGCAATGGGACTTACCAGACCAGTAGAGACTAGATGAACCACTGAGACTATCACCCTGAGATACTCTTTAAACTTGGAACTCAAACCACTCCCAGAGGTCACTTTTCAGACAAACAACAGACTGGCCCATAAAATTAATAATCACTCATGAGTACTCTGCTCCTCAAAATAATTGTCTAGATGAAACAAATGGTTAACATTTACCCTAGACCAAAGATGAGAAGGTTAGGGGGGACAGGGAAGCTAGATTAATGGACACAGAACAACCAAAATGGAAATAACGAGAATGCTGATATATTTTGAAGAATGTAACTGATGTCACTGAACAGTATGTATAGAAATTGTTAAATGAGAACATAATTTCCTGTGTAAACTTACACAATAATATTAAAAAAAAAAAAAAAGTGATGGAAAGCCATAAAGGATTTGAAGCAGAGCACGGTGGTGTTTGAGAGAGAGAGTGAGAAAGAAGATCACATGTGTGTTTTGAAAAGATTGTGGAGACTGTGTCGTGGAGACCACACCGGGGAGAGGACCAGTGAGAGACCTCATCATTCTACCCATGCCAACATCTGAGATTTCAGAGACTACTTTTGTGAGGAGTACTGGGGAACCACTAAGGAATCCATAAAATTAAATTTCAACATTTTGAATTCTCTATTTCCAGCCCATTAACGTAGAAAAGTGGTTTCTAGGTTGTGCATGAAGCTTGAATGAGCTGCTTTGCCTCTCTGTACCATTGCTGATGGTGCTGGTTGCCCACAATGTCCTCCCAGAGTTCAAATCTCTGCAGAGTCAGATAGTTAAATGGTGCAATTTCATGAGGAGAGTGGTGGGAGATCAGGAAAAAAGAAGGAGGGCCCAGGTCTATTTGGGGGCTTCTGAGGGGAGTTATTTCAGCTGAAACTTGAGGGATGAGAAGTATGCTAGACATATGCCAGGAAGAGGGGTGTATTAAAAGCAAGGACAAGGAAGTCTTTCAAATTAGTACTCAAAGTTTAATAATGAGGGTGCCCTGAGAGACGCAGCTGAAAGGGAGAAGAACCAGATTATCAAGGTCTTGGCTGCTTGGTTGGAGCCCTGGAGGCGCAGTGGTTAAGAGCTTGGCTACTAATCAAAAGGTCGACAGTTCAAACCCCCAGCCACTCCTTGGAAACCCTATTGGGCAGTTCTACTCTATCTATAGGGTCACTATGAGCAGGGATCGACTCGATGGCAATAGAGTCAATTTGGTCTTGGTTTGTCCGCTTGGTTAAAGAGTTTAGATATTAACCTGTAAGCAACTAGGAGCCATTGAAGCATTTTGGACAATAACTTGATCAGACTTGATGGAAGAAAATATTTTGGCAGCAGTGTGAAGGATGTATTGGAAACGCTGAGCATAGAAGCAGGGAGACCAATAAGGAGGCATTTGCAGATGTTTAGGCAAGAGAATTGGGTTCCAGAACAGGGACAGTGGAGCCCAGAGAGGAGGGGACAGATAGGAGAGGTATGAAGAGGGTAGAATCTGCAGAAATTGATGGCGTGGGTGAAGATAAAGGAAGTGGGAGTTAGAATGACTCTGGAGTTTCTGACTTGGCACTTGGGTGGGAGGTAGAGTCACAGAAATGGCTGCTAACCAAAAGGTTGGCAGTTCGAACCCACCAGCCACTCCTTGAAAACCCTAGGGGGCAGTTCTTCTCTGTCCTATAGGGTCACTATGAATCAGAATCAAATCGATAGCAACGGGTTTGGTTTTTTGGTTTTGGACAAGTAGCAGGTCTGGAGGGAAGACAACCAGATTAACATTTGACCTGTCACATTTGAAGTCTCTTTAGGACACCCTTAAGAGCCACATCCAAGAAAGGTGGCTAACAGGCACTTGAA